ATATTATACTGATTTCTGAAGATCATGTGACACTGAAGACTGGAGGAATGATGCTGGAAATACAGCTGCGCATCACAGAAATACATTACAGTTTAACAGATATTCACATAGAAAAGAGTTATTTGAAATTGTAATAATATTTCAAAATTTTTACTGTATTTTTTAATCAAATAAATGTATCCTTGTTGAGCAGAAGAGACGTCTTTAATAAAATCATTGTGAATATTTACTATATCTAATCTGCAGTGGCTTCGGGTGGATTTTTGGCGTCTGCAGAGAAACTGATGGTTGATTTTAAAGGTCTTGAGTGGATCTGATGGCTGTATTTGAGGTAGTTGTCGACTGCTTGCTTTACATGTGTAATCGTGAGCAGGTTGGGATTTGTACAGCGGTGGGCCGTTGAGCATTTTTGTGGTTCAGACGTCAGATGATTTAGTCTGTTCCTGAAGGTGTTTATGACAGATCTCAGTCATATGTCTGGATCTGACTCGTTCCATGTGATCATTTAGCAACAAAACCTCTAAATGTTCCTGTCAGTAAGGTATGAGATCATGATAATGTCTCAAACCATCACAGCGGCAGCCTCTGGGAAACATCAGATCTCGCCTCCTCAAGAAAATCTAACCCAGTTGTTTCTCTGTTACTTTGGGGTTGAAGGTGGAAGGGATTTTGCAGTAGATGTAATCGTATGTGATGCCGTCATCGTTTCAGCGTCCCTGAGGAGGAAATGCTTCAGATGGAGGTGTTTGCTTTTCCTGTGGTTTCTGGGCTGTATATTGAACTAACACCTCCTCTCTTCATCTCCTCTTGTGTTTTTTTCCATGTTTCTCCTCCAGGAGCTCAAGGACAGACAGACGCAGGTCTACCGCTGCCCTCTACAGGGTGAGTACAGACATCAGACACAAGACAGATGTCAAAAGTCATGTTGTAAATCAGTATTTGTGTCCTGTTTTCCAGTACAAATATCGAAACATTCTTATAATTGAGATGCATTGATTTAAAATGCAAAATGACGTAAGATAAGAAGTCCTGTTCTCTGAGAAATTGATCAAAATGAAGTGAGTTGTACTAAAATGATTCAAACTAAAACTAAATAAAAAGAAATAGAAATATAGAAAATAAAAAATGACAAAAGCGCATAACAAAATTACTAAAACTTCAACTAAAATAAAAAAAAAACTCAAAATATAAAATAAAAAGTCATTCAAAATATGAATACAATATTAAAAATAAATATAATAAATTATACTATATTATATACGGAAAACTGAAAATCCAAAAATAAAAGCTAATTCAAAAATAAATATAATAAATTATACTATATTATATATGGAAAACTGAAAATCCAAAAATAAAAGCTAATTCAAAATACTACAATAGTGTATAAATAATACTAAAATAACAGTGAAATAGAATTAAACTGCTCTAAGTGTAGTTTATATTATATTATATACAGAAAACTGAAAATATAATATATATATATATATATATATATATATATATATTACATTAATTATATTATATTATATACTAAAAACTGAAAATATATATTTAAAAAATTCATTCAGAATATTAATACTACAATATTATATAAATAATACTAAAATAACAGTGAAATAGAATTAAGCTGCTGTAAGTGTAGTTTATATTATATTATGTACAGAAAACTGAAAATATAAAAATAAATAAATATTTATATATATATATTATTTACTGAAAATATTAAGAAATACTACAATATTTTATAAATAATACTAAAATATTATGCTTAAAAGAGCAGATATCGGCCAGTGGGGTCAGAAAAAATCATTTTGTTTTCCCTAGGAATTCATTCGATTTTTTTGACTCCATTGGCAGATATTTGTTCTTATTTTAAGCATAAACTCACTTTATTTTGATTCATATTTCAGGAAACAAGACTTAATATCTTCATGGTTTCGTGTCTCAAGTAAATGTATCTTGATTTAAGAATGTTTAGACACTTGTACTGTTGAACAAGACACTTTTTGCAATGTGTTTCATACTTTTGGACCCTACTGTATGTAGTGTACTCAGTGTAGTGCACTCAGTGTAGTGTACTCACAGTACTTGTGTGTGTGTGTGTGTGTGTGTGTTTAGTGGTTTTGCCTCCAGAAAAGGCTGAAGGATGTGAGAGTTTTCTGCCGTCTGGAGATGCGCTGAAGGAAACCTGCAAAGGGAAGAAACGCATCAGTCTAGATGTGAGTTCACACCAAACAACAAACTGCAGCTAAATACAGTTTATATTTATTTATTATTTTTAATGAGCTTTATATTTTATATGACTCGAACACACAAATTTGCACAAAATACACTAATACATTTAAAAAAGAAAATTAAAATTCAGAGTATAATCGGTGTATATTTTCATTTATCATTAACATTAAAATATTTATTTCTCTACAAAATGCCACACAGAGATTTGTGGGAACGTTATTAAGTGATAACTCAAATGAATTGATTGAAATGAGTCATTATTGAACCGATTCACTGAACTGATTCATCATCCAAATCAACTGAATCATTAAATTGGATTGGACTTCACAGCAATATTTTAAAATATCTCTAAAACATATATCTACTAAAACTATCTCTGGAAAAGCGAAGCTATTTTGTAAAAAGCTGAACTATATTTTCATTTTACATTGACATTTATGCATTTAGTAGACGCTTTTATCCAAACATTACATAAGAAGTCTTGTTTTTTTATTTGAGCAAAATGATTTGATTTAAAAGAAGTTTAGATGATTAAAATGAGAACAAATATGAATGAATGAACTCATCATATTTTCTCTTCGATCTAAACTGATTTTTCAGATCGCGTTAGCAGATATTTATTCTTGTTTCAATCATAAACGCACTTCATTTTGAATCTTTCATCTTTCCTTTAACCCAGTACCAGAGAATGCACTCTCCAGTTGAGTCTGTGCTCAAATAACACTAACACAAAGCTGTGTGTCTGCGTTCACTGTAAAGCACTGCTCTGAATGAGACACATCAGTAACATGCGAACGCATTGCCACTCCAACAATTATAATCCGTGTTCAAAGATACCCATGTGTTATAGCTGAAACCGATAATTGTGGTTAAAAACATTTTTCCTGGAACAAGACGAAAAGCACCTGTATAATCCCACGCAAAACTACTTATACATCCTCTTCAATGCCATCTTAAAGAGCTGACCTGAAACACAACAGCTGTAGGGATTCAATCTCTCCTTTATTAAAATAATAATTTAACCATAAAGAAAACATTCTGTCATCATTTACTCACCCTCGTGTTTTTCCAAACCTGTTTGACTTGTATTCTGTGCAAAAACGAACAATAAAGCTTCTGTTTTACATGCAGTACAGTGAAACTTGATATTGGATCTAGGGGTCGACCGATTATCGGCCTGGCCAATTATCGCGGATATTAAGCTTTTTTTATGGTTAGTGGTATCGGTCAAAACCGATAAAATAATTTTAAAAACATTTTTGTCAGAGCCCTTGTTATTCTTAATTTTGACATTATAAGACATATATACTGTATATCGGTTATCTTGATCTGTAATAATCGGTATCCGCATCGGCCCTGAAAAACACATATCGGTCGACCCCTAATTAGATCTGCTTTTGTGATTCTCCAAAAAAAAAAAAAAATTTTTATTAAATAAATAAATAAATAAAACGGTTTGGAATAATACATTTTTATTTCTTTAAATAGTATAATAATGTGTTTTAAATTTTAGATTTTTGTTGGTTGCAGTGTTATTTTAGTATTATTTATATGTTTATAGTTTAAGAATTTATAGTTTTCATTAATATTTTCAATTATTATCTTTTTTATATTTTATATTTTAATGTTAGTTCAGTTTTTAGTAATTTTGTTTTGTGCTTTTGTCATTTGTATTTGCTTTTTTTTAAATATTACAATTTAGGTTTAATTTGAAAGAAAATAACATGGGTTGGAGTAATACATTTTTATTTTTATTTTTTAGTATTGTATTACGGTGTTTTAATTTTTAGATTGTGGGTTGCAGTGTTATTTTTGTATTATTTATATATTATTCTTATAGTTTTTTATAAATTTTTTCATTAACATATATTTTTATTTTTGTAGTTTTCATTTTAATTTTAGTTTGTTTTAATCCTTTTATTATGTGCTTTTGTTTTTTGAGTGAATTCTTATTATTTGGGATTGAGGTCCCCCTGCTGGTCACGTGTGTAACTGCATGTTTGCGTGTTGGATCTCTCAGGATCTGGAGTGTAACGTGTCTCTGGTTGGTGACAACAGGCAGGAGTGGGTCTTCACGCTCTACGACTTCGACAACAGCGGAAGAGTCACAAAGGAGGTAAATACTGACGTTTATACAGGCCTCATTCAGAGACAGACACCTGACGCTCATTCCCTTCAGTAAAATGCATGAGAAAGCATTCATGTTGTGTGTGTGTGTTTAGGACATGTCCAGTTTAATGCACACTATCTATGATGTGGTGGACACCTCCGTCAATCACTCGTGTAACGGCAAACGAAAGACCCTGCGAGTGAAGCTGACGGTCACTCCTGAACCCGGAGCTCGCAGGAAGGACGGGACACACGCCATGACCGGTGCCAATCTCACACACACACACACACACACACACACACACACACACACACACTCACACACACACTCACACTCACACTCACACACACACGCTTACACACACACACACACGCTTACACGCACACACACACACACTCACACACACACTCACGCACACACGCTTACACGCACACACTCACACACACTCACGCACACACATTCACGCACACACACTTACACGCACACACTCACTCACTCACTCACACACACTCACACACACACACACACACTCACACTCACGCACGCACACTCACGCACACACGCTTACACGCACACACACACACACTCTCGCACACACTCACTCACACACACTCGCAAGCACACTCACACGCACGCACACACACACTCGCACACACATACACACTCACTCACACACACACACACACACACACACTCACTCACTCACTCACACACACTCACACACACACACACACACTCACACACACGCACGCACACTCACGCACACACGCTTACACGCACACACACACACACACTCTCGCACACACTCACTCACACACACTCGCAAGCACACTCACACGCACGCACACACACACTCGCACACACATACACACTCACACTCACACATTCACACACACACTCACACACACACACACACACACACACACTCACTCACTCACTCACAAACACTCACACTCACGCACACACGCTTACACACACACACACACACTCACACACACTCGCACGCACACTCACACGCACATTCATGCACACACACTTACACGCAGAGACTTTCTGCTATTTCAGATTTTCAATACACTCCATTCTGTGTGATTTATAAGCGTTTTGAAAAGTGGGGACATGGGGTAATGTCCTGAAGTGAAAGGCTGTATGAATGAAAGTATGAGTAACAATATAGATTTTTATACAATAAAACGGTTAATAATTTAAATAACCAAGCCATTTTTAATTAAATACTTCACAAATAAAAGGTGCTTCATCTGATTTGGTTATTTTCCCTTTTTATTTGGAATGTTTTTGCTAATATTTTGAATTAGGTTTTATTGAAATCTTTGCTGTTTTCACTTTAATTTCAGTTGAAGTTTTAGTCTTTGTCTGTGTTTTTATTTTTTTATTTTTTTATTTTATCTGTATCGTGCTTATTAATTGTCTTTGTCTATATATTAGTTTTAGTTTATTTAATTTGAGTGATTTTAGTAATTCAAGTTAAATTAAATGAAAATGAAACATGCTGCTTTGGAACTGACTGAAATAAAAGATTAAGTATATATATATAATTTGATTTAATTGAGCATTTATTTTAATGGATTTAATTGTAATGTTTTTTTTTAAATTTGGTTTGTGTCTTGATGAATTTAAACCATCAGATGATTAAAGATCAGATGATTCATAACAAATGAATAAATCAGTTAAAAAGGAGTTAAAAAGACTCAAAAGAGTCAAACTAATATTAGGAAATAATGCACACTTTACATTTTTATTTTATTTATTTATTTTTAGCATATTACGATGTTTTAAACTTTAGATTGTTGGTTGCAGTGTTATTTTAGTATCATATATATATATATTATAGTTTTTGTTAATATTTTGAATTAGTTTTTTAAGCTTTCATTTAAATTTTAGCGTAATTATTATTTTTTGAATATTGTATTACTGTTTTTTTCTTTAGATCGTTTTTTTTGTTGCAGTGTTATTTTAGTATTACTTTATACTATTTTAGTTTTTATTAATATTTTTGTATTAACTTTTAATTTTATATTTTCGGTTTTCATTTAAATATTAGTTTAATTTTTAGTATTTTATGTTTTTTTAATTTGAGTTTTTTTTATATAGTATCACTGTGTTTGTTGGTTGCAGTGTAATTTTAGTATTATTTATATACTATTATAGTTTTTATTAATATTTTAATACATTTCACATTTGAAGCTGCTGTAAAACACTGAACTCTACTTCGGTTTGTGCCTAATTTCTGCACTTTCTTTGCTCTGGCTTCAGACAGAGACGTGAATCGCTTGAGTCGCATCGAGTCGGTTTTCCCCGCGGAGGACAGACAGCAACACACACACATCAGGTGAGTCCATATAAATCAGCAGTATTGTCCCGTGTGTCCACATGTGACGTGAAGGGTGTGTTGTTCACAGAGGCCAGGCTGCTGAAGCTCACCAGAGCAATCACTACTGTGTGGACGAGAACACAGAGAGACGAAATCATTACCTGGATCTGGCGGGAATAGAGAACTACTCCTCCAGATTTGACAGTAAGATTCTACTGAGCGTGTGTGTAATATCCCCGAAATACAGTCCTTATCAGTCTTCACAGAAAAACCAGTGGTGTTAAAGGGAGAATCTCAGGGGCACATTGCACTGAAAGGCAAATCTCACAAAACCCATCAGGAAATGTCATATTTCACCACTAAATGAAAAGAAATAAGAAATATTTTGCATAAAATAAACACATTTTTGGACCCTTACGGCATTAATATTTATTCATTTATTTTTATTTGACATTATTTGCATACATTAAGCTCACCCCCTCCAATTTCTCATAAAAATCTCATGATTGAAATGCAAAAGAAATAATAGTAATACTATTTTAATTGTAAAGTCTTTACTCATCATGGTAGGAATTGTTGTGCTGCTTTTAATTTATGCAGTTTTAAAATTGTGTTTGATTAATTTTCCTGAAAACAGGATTTTTTTTTAATCCAAAATATATATTTTTAATATTTTATTTTCTTTTATAAAATATAACTGCTTAATTTTTGTTAATTTTTCTGATGTTTTCTAAAAAATATATATATATATATTTTTTTATCATTGTTCTGACCCTTTATAAAATATAATTTTATAATTGATCATTTTTAAATGTATAATTCCTTCATTTTTGTTCATTTTGCTGACCTTTTATAAAATATACATTCTTTAATTTTGATCATTGTTCTGACACTTTATGAAATATGATTCCTTAATTTTTGGAACTTTTTTCCAACATTTCATAAAATATAATTCCTATAATATAAAAATATAATTGTTGTTATATAAAATATAAATATAGAATATTAAATAGATATTACATTTAAAAATGAAAAATAAATTTAAATATTAAATATAATTATTGTTCTGACCCTTCATAAAATATGATTGCTTAATTTTTGTTCATGTTGCTGACCTTTTAAAAATTATAATTTCCTTAATTTTAATTATTGTGCTGACTCAGTATAGAATTCTAGAATTTTTTTACATATATATATTTCCCTTAATTTTAATAATTGTGCTGATCCTTTATAAAATATAATTCCTTAATTTTTGGTAATTTTTCCTACAATTCCTAAAATATAAAAATATAATTGTTGTTATATAAAATATAATTGTTGTTCTGACCCTTCATAAAATATGATTGCTTAATTTTTGTTCATGTTGCCGACCTTTTATAAAATATATTTTCCTTAATTTTGATTATTGTGGTGATTGTTTATCGTATAGAATTCCTTCATTTTTGTTCATTTTGCTAGCCTTTAAATTTTTTTTTTAAATATATATATATTTCCCTTCATTTGAATAATTATGCTGACTCTTTATAAAATATATTTTCCATAATTTTGATAATTGTTCTGACCCTTTACAAAAAAATTATTCTTAATTTTCATTAATGTTCATGTTGCCGACCTTTTATCAAATATATAATATATACTCCTTCTGCAAGGTTCCTCTCCTCCTGCGGCCCAGCAAGAGCAGCCCTCACGGTCTTCACACAACCAGAGCCGTTCCCGTTCCCACGAGCCCGAAACTCACGCTCATCAGCGGCGGTCGCAGGTCCTCGCCGACCCCTGCGCGGCCCCGGATCCCCGAGTGCGCGGCGGGCCCCAGTACATCAGGTCCCCCAAGGCCACGTCCAAAGGAGGCCAGTCTGCGGCCAAAACCAGCAAGTGCCACGGCTACTATCCGCCTGCGCCGGGCGTTTCCTTCCCAGCGGGTCAGAACGTGTACCATCTCGCGCAGCAGAACCAGCCTCAGCCCTCGCCGGGTCCCCAACACCCTCTCCAGCACAGTCACAGCAAGAGAATGAGAGCCAGAGCCAGAGAACAGGCCCTGTCGCCCTCCAAACACACCCAACAACAACAGCCCTCGCCAGACCGCGAGCAGAACGCCGGGTTTGTGCTTCCCGTGGTCCAGCGGCACGAACACCATCATCATCACGAACACCATCATCATCACCACTACCATCACTACCAGCAGACATGACTTCAGCAGGACTCGGGAAGCTCTGGATGCGAGTTCATTTTAAACCACATTGAGATTTCAGGCTAACTCTCGATGCCCGTCAGGTTTGTTCCTGTTGTGCAGTTTGAATGTCCAGTAATTATTTCTATAAAAGCATATGTGACCCTGGAGCACAAAACCTTAGTGTCAATTTTTCAAAATTGAGATGTATGCATCATCTGAAAGCTGAATAAATAAGCTTTCCATTGATGTATGGTTTGTTAGGATAGGACAATATTTGGTTGAGATACAACTATTTGAAAATCTGGAATCTGAGGGTGCAAAAAAATCCAAATATTGAGAAAATCATTTTTAAAGTTGTTTAAAAGAAGTTCTTAGCAATGCATATTACTAATCAAAAATTTAGTTTTGATATATTTACGGTAGGAGATTTACAAAATATCTTCATGGAACATCTTTACTTCATATCCTAATGATTTTTGACATAAAAGAGAAATGTATAATTGTGACCCATACAATGTATTGTTGGCTATTGCTACAAATATACCCCAGCAACTTCACACTGCTTTTGTGCTGCAGGGACACATTTATCAGATATTCAGAAATCTGCTCTGCTCAAACTCAGGCACTTATTGCGTTCTCTGAAAGCTGAATAAATAAGCTTTCCATTGATGTATGGTTTGTTAGGATAGGACAATATTTGGTTGAGATACAACTATTTGAAAATCTGGAATCTGAGGGTGCAAAAAAATCCAAATATTGAGAAAATCATTTTTAAAGTTGTTTAAAAGAAGTTCTTAGCAATGCATATTACTAATCAAAAATTTAGTTTTGATATATTTACGGTAGGAGATTTACAAAATATCTTCATGGAACATCTTTACTTCATATCCTAATGATTTTTGACATAAAAGAGAAATGTATAATTGTGACCCATACAATGTATTGTTGGCTATTGCTACAAATATACCCCAGCGACTTCACACTGCTTTTGTGCTGCAGGGACACATTTATCAGATATTCAGAAATCTGCTCTGCTCAAACTCAGGCACTTATTGCGTTTATTAACTGTATCGTGATTGTGATTTACACAATGAACAGAATGAAAACAGAGCTAAAGTTAGTCGTTGCTGACCGTTTACATGAAGACATCAGCTTCCTTTGGATATTTCTTAACCATCTTTTGAAATATAAATTATGCTTTTACGGATATGTGTAATTTGATGAAGTGTGCTGAAATGATCTAGAGACAAACCAAAACAGACAAACAAACAACAGTTTTGTTAATTAAAAGGATTTTACAAAAGAGCAACAGGATGCAAAATGATATTGACGACACTATAAAATATAAATTAATTATGAGTTGTTGTTTTTTTTTTAATACACACACACTTCCGGGCAAAAATTTTGAATAATTCAGATTTTTTAATGTTTTTGAAAGAAGTCTCTTCTGCTCATCAAGGCTGCATTTATTTGATCAAAAATACTGTAAAAAAGCAGTAATATTGTGAAATATTATTACCATTTAAAATAACTATTTTCTATCATGAATATATTGTAAACTGTAATTTATTTCTGTGATGCGCAGCTGTATTTTCAGCATCATTACTGCAGTCTTCAGTGTCACATGATCTTCAGAAATCATTCTAACATAGACCTTAAACATAAAAATATCTTTATTATACCAAACATTTGACCGGTAGTGAATATCGTCTCAGGTTACGTATGTAACCCTAGTTCCTCGAGGGAACGAGTCAAATGAGGAGGGACCACCTCGATGGCCTCCTTCCTCAAAAGAGTGACTACTTCTTGTTCCATGACCAGAGCCTGCTCGGGGCCCACCAGCGTGGGCGTCCCCTCTCTACAGTGAGCAGGACCCACTGAGACACATTTGGCAGTAGTTTCTACGCTGCCAAAAAGTCTACTAAGGGAATCAGTCTCTCGAGACTGATCTCTGGTGTAATGCGTGCAGCCAGGTCGGTGCCCTGTAACGGCGAACCGGCAGGGAACACCCAAGCCTGCTACTCTAGAGTGGTGGCGAGCCTCTTAGCACCGCTACGTTGCCGGGCGGTAACTGAGAGTGGCGCTTGCGGGAGACCGCTGTGCCCTGTAACTCCGGCAGGGTTAGCAGACCGATCTCCTGAGGGCACTGAGGCGAGACGGACACCGTGTAATGCGGTGTAACCCGCTGCACCCCAGAGGGGACTGCCCTCATGAGTCCTGGGCCAGTGGCATCAGGACTTTTTGGCCGAGGACTTCTTAGTCTTAAGTACGGTCCGCAGATCCGGCTTAGACTTCGAGGCCCCTGACCTAGAGCGTCGCCTCGACCCACTGTCTCGACCCGGGAGAGTAGGTGAGGCCACGCTCTGTTTTTGTGCATTGCTGACCGCCTCACCCTCCTCAGAGGAAGAGAGGTAAACACCTGCTCTCACTCGAGAAAAATTTATTTATATATATATATTTTTTTTTCTTAAGTGCCTCTGTGTATCTAACTTCTCATAGTCAGAAAATACTTCATTTTATTCCTCAGAATTAAATGCAGTCAAACACCAGAGGGGTAAATACGGTCAGGTGAGTAAGATTTACATAGAAATCGAATGACGTAATATACGCGTTGCCTCGGCACTCAGTCACACCAACAACATCAATCTCCTCAGAAAAAGATGGCCGCATGAGCGAAGCAAGGCAGTAACAAACGCTACCAAAACGGCCGTCAGCTCCCTTTTTTTTTGAGAGCTGACTCTGCGTTCTTGCTCTCAAGCAGACAACAAACAAACTGTGTGTATCCCCACCCGTAAAGTAACGCGGGCAGGGAAGAACACACAGCCTGAACGCTGCCTGCCCTCGCCTTAGTGTCTGGTTTTGTCTTGCTTTAGATTTCGTGACAGACAACACTAAATAAGACTCACAAACAGATATCAGACTGACACACACACACACAGAGCGCTTGCTGAATGACAAAAGCTGACGCTGGTCTCACCGCACGTGCTTTTATAGTTTCCTGGCTATACCCCCCCCCGCCGTGACGTCTCGCCCATCTATTGGTCTGATTACACACGAGGTTCAGAGCCCATCACACTGAAGGGCGTTCCCCTAGCGTTTCCGACGCAGCTCGAGTTCCTGAAGAGGAAATACATATTTTATTTGAAACATTACAATTAGAGACCCAGGGGAAAATAAAAACAGCAATCAAACCATTTGAAATGATTTAAACTTCACTTAATTGTGATAAAAGAAACTAACACGATTTCCATCTTTAAGTTTTTTTTCAGTATATACAGACATGTATGATGAGGTCATGAAATATACTGCATAGAAGGAATGACCCTACAATATTATATTGTATAATTTAGCCGTGATGCTCTGCTCGGCTGTCACTCAGATGTGGTTTTGTGTGACGGCGTCTCTTCCAGTATTTTTTCTAATATTCGTGGATCTCAGGTGAACGGTGCTGCTCTGTAGCTTTTCTGGAAATATAGGCTATTTCTCTTTCGGGAGACCCTGCCATGGACTGAACGTCTCCCTCGTCCCAGAGGAAATATCACCACTGCCAGTTTGAATGCTAAAATATCCTTTATGTTTAAAAATAAAAACTATATGAATATAAACATTTTACTGTATGATTATACTGTTTATGCATATTTATCATGGTTTATACATATGCATTTTGTTGTTGTTTTTTAAATATTTTAATAAAATACATCCAATGCATTTGACATCTGCCTTTTCCTTCTCTCAATTATAGAAATGTATAAACTGACGTAACCCTCTAGTGCTCTTTATATATATATATATATATAATTTTTTACTTGATCAGAACAGTACGAAACTTGGTAAAGGTTTTGGCACTCAATATGTGAACAAAAAACTATTCCGTAAATATAATTTAGTACAATTAAATCCCCTAAAAAATCTAAATATTAAATAAAAAACATTAACAAACTAAAATATAGTACATTCATTTCGTTTACATAATAAAAAATAAAAAAATTATTTTTGACAGCCACACAAAATTATTAATTAGAACCAATAGAATATCTGATAAAAATGAGGTAAATTAACTTTAGCCACACCCCTCTCTCTTTAACTCCTCCCTGCAATGGCACGTCAACCAACCGGATGTCAGTAAATGCGAACGCGCAGAATGCCATTTCTCACGATGCTTAAAGGGTTAGTTCACCCAAAAATTGTGTCATTAATTGCTCACCCTCATGTCGTTCCAAACCCGTAAGATCTTCGTTCATCTTCAGAGCACAAATTAAGATATTTTAACCGAGATCTGAGAGCTTTCTGACCCTCCATAGGCAGCAAGGGAACTACCACGTTCAAGGCACAGAAAGGAACCAAGAACATCGACAAAATAGTCCATGTGACATCTGTGGTTCAACCGTAATTTTATGAAGCTATGATAATACTTTTGGTGAAAACAAAAATAACGACTTTATTCTCCCCCGGGTTCCCATCTACCGCCATTATCGAGAGTAACACAACGCATGCGCGTGCTTTCCTCCTCTGCTCGTAAACAAGGCGCAGCGCGTGCATCGTGTTACTCTCGATAATGGCGGTAGATGGGAACTCGGGGGAGAAGAATTGTTGAATAAAGTCGTTATTCTTGTTTTCTTCGTGCACCAAAAGTAATCTCTTAGCTTTGTAAAATTACGGTTGAACCACGGATGTCACATGGACCATTTTAATCATGTTCTTACTACGTTTCTGTGCCTTGAACGTGGTACAGTAAGTTAGTTCCCTTGCTGTCAGGGTCAGAAAGCGCTCGGATTTCATCAAAAATATCTTCATTTGTGTTCCGAAGATGAACGAAGATCTTACGGGTTTGGAACGACATGAGGGTGAGTAATTAATGACAGAATTAGCATTTTTGGGTGGACTATCCCTTTAAGTATCGCGAGAAATCGCATTCTGTCAGGGGAGCGGCCCGCATTTTTTAGCCAATCATTCTGCGCGTTTGCATTTACTGACACCCGGTTGGTTGACGTGCCATTGCAGGGCGGAGTTAAAGAGAGAGGGGTGTGGCTACAGTTACTTTACCGCATTTTTATAGACTATAAATACAGAGCAAAAAGCATAAAAAAAAAATAAACATTAAAAATGATATATATATACCCAGCATTAAGACATTTTAATCCTGAAAATGTTACGAAATCATAACAACAAAA